TCTTACTGTATCGGGCATGATTCCTGCAATCTTTCCTGTGTCTTCTCCAAATTCTCCTCCTCCTCCTCCTCCTATCAACTGAACTCAGTGTTCTAATGAAATCTCACCAAGAATTCTCCAAATGTCACACAGAGGCCACTCTGGATCCTGCCTGTGGGCACCTTCAGAGGCACACGACCACCACCTGGCTACTTATGTGAGAAAACAGCGGGTATCAAATGGAGGGCCTCTCTGCCGTGCACCCCTCCTGTCCACCATGGCTGCGAGGTGCAGCCCAGGGGTCCCACCAGTGCTGGTCTCCAAGCTCACACCTTCCCACCTTTAATTTCAACGGCCCTGGCCCGGGCCCAGGTGCTCCTGGCTCCTGGGCCTTCAGGGCGGAAGCTACACAGGTAATTCATGGCCTCTTGCTGACAATAGCCTCCTTTGATAAAATGAATCCTGTGGCCCATTATTTTTTTTTTTTCTGGACTTTCTAAAAGATACAACTGCCCTCTGAGGGGTTAGTGGCTGAATTCTTCCACAAACTTAATTTTATATTCCATCAAAAATACGTTTGTAAATGAGTCCTGAAGGTCAGGTCTCCCAGGCATCACACTTAGACTAGACCCTTGCCTTCTTCAGGAACCAAGAAATTGAGATGCCGACTCGGCACTCTGAGGCACACTGTCACCAGGGCCTTCAAGAGCAGCGTCCTCTCACACCAGCACACTCCTGGTTCTGTGGCCAGTCCACACCTGGGGTAGGGTCGCTGCTCCTCCTCATCTGTGCTGGGAACAGAGGGCAGTGTGCGCCACCCTGGGCACACCTGGGGCATGGCCTCTTGCAGCTGACACCTTCTCAGACCAGAGGACGTGCGTCTGGAGGCAGCAGGACCTCGCTACAGCTCAGCTACACGGCAGCCTCGGCACCTGACCAGACAGAGGACGCCCTGACACTTTTAAGGAAGAAATGCTGACACTCATTTGCCTCGGGAAGCCTCCAGCCACAGAGGACAATCCTGCTGCTGCCTGTCTGCCTTACAGGCCAGCAACCCAGCACCTTCATGTGCCAGGCAGTGCCTGCAAACGCCTGGCTCGGGTCTGGTCACCTTAGGAAAACATCCTGAGTTTCGCTCACAGCAAGGCAAGAGTCACCTTATGAGGTGATTTAGAATGAAGCTAACATATTGCTTGAAAAATCCAAGAGGTGCTTGGAGGGTGTCGTCACACCTGCCGGTGCAGGAGGTCTCTGGCTGTGGACACAGAGTGGCTCTGGGCTGCGCTGAACTCTGTCTCAGAGGGACAGACCTGCCAGAGCATGTGGAGAGAGCTGTCTGGCCAGACGGAGAGCCAGGGGGGCAGCAGCGGTCTGAAGGCTGACCAGGGCCCCTAAGACCCACCTCCATCCCCAGGCACGAGCTCACATGCCCACAGAACACCACTGCGCCACCGACTGCCGGAGAAGAAAGGCTACGGTGACCAAAGCTTCTCCTGTAGCTGTCACAGAGTGCGAGCGTCTCACTCCCTGCTTGGCGCCAGCTGCAGTGCCCATAATACGAGGACACCCCGTGCTGCGCCAGTGTCAGGAGCTGACGCATCAGGCAGGACACTGCCCGCTTGGCGCAGGCTGTGCCGAGCAGAGGCCAGTCAACAGCAGCTGCCTGTCCAGCTAGAACCGCACCTGAGAAGCAGCCAGAGGGCACAAACCACCTGCAGCGCAGGTCACGGAAGTCACAAACTCCAAGCCATAGATGACTTGTTTTGACTTCGCCAAGACAAGGCCTCTGACATCACTTCTCCTGCCACCTCCTCAGAGCTGGTGTTTCCTGGGTGGAGAAGGGGTCAGTCTGGTGTGCTGTCCCCAGGCAGCCCCTGCCTGTGCCTGCACCTTCTCTCTGGCAGGCCACACCCCTGCATGCTACGCGGCGGGGAAGGACTCCGAGGCCCTCAGGAACAGGGAGCTCCCTCTGCCCTCAGGTCGCGGGCTCAGGTCACCTTCCCACCTGGCGGCCCCCTGCCTCTACCTGGTTCTGTGGGCCCTTGAAGCAGTCAAAACCCCGAGGCTAGTACATCCAGGCCTGCTGACCTTGCTTAATAGAGGGCAGTCAGGACAGGACGGGGGCAAAGAGACACCGATCACTGTCCTCAGGGTCAGCTCTATCACCTACCCTGGGCTCCTGAGGGCTCTGTGGGGACACTGGGCGACTCATCTTCCCTCTGCAGGTGAGATGGGTGGTGGCCAGTGAGGGTGTCCCTGCAGAGCCGGGTCCTGAAGGCAGCTTGAGAGCCACGGGAAGTGGAGAGAGCCGCAGCTCAGCAGGGAATGTCAAGCTCAGGGCCCCAGACGGGCTCAGAGAAGGCCCCCGTGGCCCTCTAGCCCCACAGCACAGGAGAAGTCCAGGAGCTGGGAGTGCAGGCCGACCTCTCTCCACTGCACCCCGCGAGGGCAGAGAGCCAGGCCGGAACACAGCAAGACAGGCTTGCAAAGGGGGCGGGGGGCAGCTTCCTGCCTGTATTTGGACTTCCTGTCCCTAGGTTTTGATGTCTGTCAAGGTGACAGGGCAGCCCTACCAGGAAACCAAGGGATTCCTAGAATCTTCAGAGCCAACTCTCAACATGGAAGCCATCAGGACGGACCTGGGTGTCTGCTCCATAAGCCTTATGTTTAATATCCATTGGCACAAGCTAGAAAACCTGCTATCTGCTCTGCAGAAGATGTGAATAGATATTTGGCAGCCCACACACCAATGAGTGAGCTGTGCGCGATCTTCTCAGCTCGACCTGGGGGGCAGAGGGCTCTTGCTGAGCAGAACACAGAGAAGGAGTGCAAGACAAAAGTGTACCAGAAAGAAAACACATCAGCGTGCTCGCCTACACACTGTCGCTGTATTATTTTGGAAAGAGATTTCTCCTCTCCACCAGAACAGCCTGTATCCTGGAGTTAATTTAAGACTCACTTGGCTTTTTTACCTAATAAGGATAATTATCTCCAAATAATGAAAATGATGAAGTGGGCGTGAGCAGCACTCCCCACACCCCTGGAGCTCAGCTCGGCTGACCTTCCTGGGGCTGCGTGGGACGTCTGCAGAGTTGAGGGCCCCGTCCCAGGCGGCAGCCTTCCCGAGGAGCCCCAGAGTCCTCCTCCTGTACCTGGCAGAGGAACGGTGGCCGTCCCAGGATAGTGCCCCATCCCCTCCAATGCTGTCTCCCCCGGGGCTCATCTGACATCAGACATGCCTCCAGGGTACCCTTCTTGTTTCTCCATAGCAATGGCCTGTTGTTGGCACAAGATGAAGGATCATTTCAGTCTTCAAATCAGGTCCCCATCTAGTGCTTAAAGGGTGGGATTTTTCCACAAAACGACCTTCCTACCAAGTGCACCCTGGGGGACCAGCAGTGTCCTGTCCCAGAGGAGGGCAAACCTCCTGGGACACTGCTGGGCCACACTCATGCGGAACCACAGGGCACATGTTCAGGAGTCATGTGGCTTCACGTTACCCAAAGACAGAAGACAAGCTCACAAATGCCTTGGGCGCCCTGGAATAGAGTTGAGACCAGCCAATCAGGCAGACGCTCACTGAGGGCCTTCCATGCAACAAGCGTGCGTGAAACTCGTTATTTCTTTTTCAGAAATTTGTCACCTGCTCATATCACCACCTGACTTCAGGGGCTAGGATGTCATGCTGGAGTGGCCTGGCCTGCAGAAGGCCCGGGCTGCACCCCGGCTCCACACAGACACAAATTTGGACCTCCAATGATACAGGAGACCTTCTGGAGGGAGGCACCTGGTATCTGCCCCCTCCTCACACCCAGTGCAGAAGGAAGCCACCAGGGAAACCGAGAGCAGCTGACCTTCCCCCAGAGGAACATAGGGTGGCAAAAATAAAGCCACCAACAGACTCTTCAATCCTGTCTCTACAGCAGGACCCTGGATGGCCCCCAAGGTGGGGGACAGCTGGACACCTCAGTCCAGAGCACCTTGAGCCTAGAGAACTCTCGATGGGGCAGTCCTGCCATGCTGCTCCTCGGTGCTGTCGAGCAGACCTGGGAGCAGTGAGCGCAGAGTGAGCATGATTTGGGCACTCTGGCCTTCCCTGCCTATTTGTAAGCAGAGAAGCATCTTTACTTTGCAAAGTTAAAACCTTCTTTATCAATGGCAGTACAAATCCTACAAGAACCACGAATGCTCTTGAAGGGGAATTTATCTAGACCATCCAAGACTAGATCAGACACACAGCATACATGGAGGAGGTAACAGGGCAGTTTTCATGGTCTCTGAGACAATCTGGAGATATTTAAGAAGAAATAAAGATTGAGATGAATCAGAGCAACAAGCAGCTTTGAAACATTTTACTGAAGGCATGGACTCACCCCATGATGTCAGAGCACTGCCTGCCTCCCGGGTGCAGGGAGCTGGGGGACTGGGTGGGCTCCTGGGTGCTGCTCTAGCCTGGGCAGCAAGTGCCTGTCTCCTGCAATTCCTGGAAGGACACTGTCCCCTGAGGGCTCAGGTATGACTGCTGACACCTTCCTTCTTGGCTCTTCAGATACCCGTGCACTTCTGAGCTCAGAGAACCTTGAGAAGCACCTTGTGGGAATGCGTTTCCTCATTTTGTTTCAAAAGGTCCTTTGCAATTAGACTTACCTGATAACAGACTGAGCTCATGCTTTGTTAAAACTACCCCTACTTTGTGCTGAGGTTCACTGCTCAGGGAATGCCTGGGAAACATGCTTTGGGCTAAGCATTTCAGGAGCACCCAGGAGCTCCAGAGTGCTGACACTGATGTTGGAGTGATGCTGGTCCTTCCTCCTCCATCACGTGTGACCTCACGCTTGGTGGGTCTTCTCCCACCGCAGCCACAGTGACAGCAGCCCCAACTCTCAGCCCTCTGGGAGGAAGTGGGAGGCTCCAATCCACCATGGTGCTGAGCCCCAGAAGTGGGCAGACTCTGTTCCCACCATCCTAGCAAGAGACCCTGCAGTGGTGGCCGATGCCCACTGGCTGTGGGCAGTACTCACCCTGCAGCTGCCGGCCCTTGAACAGGTCCTGGGCCCTGGCGGGGTGTGCCCGGGCTCTGTCGTCACACTTGGGCTGCTCATACCTGGGGGCGGGAGAGAAGAGCTGATGGAGGGCCTGGCCCTGGTTCTCCACCTCTCCAGCGTGTGAGAGGTACAGGTGGGCTCCCCCAGACAGAACCACGGCATCCGGTCCTCGTGTCACATGCCTGTAGGGTAACTACCTCGGCTACACCATGAACACGTCCCCCAGCGACGGGAAGAGGCACCTGCAGCTCCTCCCCGGCAGCCTCTGCCTCACTCTTGTCCCCTCCGTCTATTACGTGATTTCACAAAGGGCAAGTGCTCTGCACTTCGCACCTGTGGCATGGCTCAGGACGGGGACAGGAGGAGCAGGAGTGTGAGGACAGTATACGATGTGGGCTTGGCCACTGGATCCCTCCCAAGAGGTGGCCCAGTCTCCAAGACTCAGGATTTTCCACCGATACATTACTCAAAGTCATTTTCAGTCCAATTCATGAAGCTAAAAGTGTTAAAAATAAAGAAAAGCCACCTGGCTCCACCTGGAGTCAGTCAAAAACCACGGAGCACGCGTGGGCGGGGACTCTGCCGCCTGAAGGTGTCGGCCCCCAGATGCCCAGCTTAGAAACAGCCAATGGTGTGGCCCACAGCCCCTCCAAGTCCACCTGGCCTGGGCACTGCCTGGGTGTTGGAGATGGAGTGGAGGTCTGTGCCCCATGAGGCCAGCTCAGCCCAGCAGAAAGTGGGCAGTGAAAGCCAGCGCAGAGGCTGTGAGCACAGAGGTGGCCCCAGCCCCCGCTGCCCCCTCCATGGCCCCCCTGCACTCAGGCTTCTCGGGCTGATCCCAGATAAGGACCTGGCCAGCGCGAGGGGAGGGGCATCCACTCGCGGGAGAAACCTCTGGGGGCGGGGGTAGCTCTTGAGCAGAATGACTGGCTCTGCTGGACACGTCCCCTGGTTTTCCTCCCTGGAGGGGACTTCACAGGAGTCGTGGGGCTTGTGCAGCCCTGTCCTGGCCTGCGCCTCCTGCCCCCCATCCGCAGGTCCACTCTTCAGTCCTTCCACTCCACGGCCTCTCCTTGGGTACTCGGGCTCCTGTGCAGGACATCAGTGCAGGCCAGTCAGGACCGACCCATAGAGCAGGCAGACAGACACGTGGGAGCAGCCAGGAGCAGGGGGCAGGAGGCGTGTCCTGGGCTAAGTGTGGAGAACACTGGCAAGCCCAATCTTCAATCCCAGCCCTGGGCCAGCATCTGGGCAGCTGGAATAGTCTAGAACTGACAGCTACGTTAGAACAGGCCCCTTCCCAGCACATGAGGTCTGAGCTGCAGAGGATGGGCACTGCCAGTGCCCTCCGACTGGGTAGGCCTGCAGCGAGGCCTTCCCCCCGACTGAGCCTTGACTGAGAGTCCGAGGCACACTCGGGTAGCCATTCTGCAGAGTTAGAAAGCTGCCCCGTTCGTTTCAAATCCCTGCAGTGCATCCAGACCCCTCCAGGACCCAACCCTCCTCACTTAGGATGATGAGATCATTCTAGTTCCCTTTTGTCATCTACTGACTTTGAAGCCACGAGGAAGCTGGCCACACCAGACGTCACTAGGGTCTTGCTCCAAATGGGGGACAGAGTCTCTTAAGGATCCCAGCACTGAGGCTGAATTTAAGAAGGTAGTGAGGGGAGCATCTGCTCCTTCCGGAGTCCAGCAGAATGCTGTCGTCTGCAGGAATGGTGCTCTCAGGACGATGCCCAGGGCACAGCTGAACGGCTTCCACGTGTCTCCACTCTTCTCAGCAGTGTTTGTTCAAGTTATTTGCATAAAGAATAAACACATCTCTCTGCTGTCTGGCTGCCCATCAGACCTCAGGCCGACTGCCATGGAGAAGTGGTTTCATGCCTTTGTGGCCACCGGGACAGAGCTGTAGACTCAGGAACAGAGGCGCCCTTTCAGGACAGGGGACAAGGGTCTGTTCCGGCTCCAGGGTAGCAGCTGGGTGTCACCTGCCCCCTACTGATCCAGTACTCATTCCTACTCTCTGCCAAGTAGACACCTATCCCTCTCCTCCCAGCCTGGATCCCACCAGCCTGGTGGCCTGGGCTTGCACAGGGGCCTGGGCCCAAACTTCAGGGACCTGCAAACTATGGCCAAGGGGTTGATCTTGACACCGAGGCAGGAGAAGCAGGAAGGAGCTGGTCCCTCAGTGGGCAGGACATATGCTCACTGGACTCCACTCCAGTCTGTGACAAAGGCCCTTGATTCTTTAGCTTGAGGACATAGGCAAGCGATGAGGCATTTGGTACTGAGAGCTGTTCCACTGTCAGAGTGCCACGTTTTCTTCCATCAGAAGACACAGGATCACTGAGGGAAAGGGCTCTTGAGCGCTCCACTCAATGCACCTCCAACCTGCAGAGCACCTCCTGAACACCTCCCAAGCTTCGGGACATCGGTGAGGATCCGTGCTCAGGCAACGGAGAGTATGTGAACAGCCATGCGGGTGGCTGTCCCTGTGCCCTGGCTGCCCAGCCCTGGCACAGCAGCAGAAAAGACCCGTGAGGCTGTTCTCTCCCCTGATGCTGCTGACCTGGTTTTTTGACGGACTGCTGAGCACCGGCGATCCAGTGCTGGGCAGTTATCCACGCACTAAATCCACCTGGGACTTCTTACAGACTTTCCCCCCAGCAAAAGAGAGGGAGGGGGCTCCCTGAGAACTATGGCACGTGGGTGGGATGCCTGGACCTTCTGCAGGTGCTTGTACCTAAGAGGGGAACCTGTCCAGGGCAAAGCTAACACACGGGGGCTGTTGGAGCAGATTTGAGGTTCTCCCTGGCAACACCACCAGGCCATGGGATCAACTGAAACTGAGCTTGCTGTACCTCCATGCCGCCTGGTGACCTGGCCAGCCCCGGTCAAGCTCACCTGAACCTTGCTGTGTGGGCAGCATTCACCCCTGCTGGGCTGGCCAGCCCTTGCTCCCTGGTACCTGAGGCCCTGACCGCCATCTGCCTCTCAGGGGTTTCCCTGGCCACTCTGCCCAGCTGTGTTCATTTCCTACAGGGAATTTGTCTCCACCCAGAACACTGACCCATCGGGCTCCTCTGACCATGTGTCGGTGGTGTCATCTGCTCCCTCGCTAGAGGGGAGCTTCACGGGCAGGGTGGCAGCCTTTCTGGTGGACGGGCATCCCCGGCTCCTAGGACACTGCTGGGACCATTCAGGGCATTCCAAGGCTCACTGAAGGAAAACAGAGGCGCTGGCGCAGGAGGGTTCCAGAATTGGCAGAGCTGTCCCTCTCCACTGAACCCCCAGTGGCTTCCCACCGGGCTGAGGCTCGCCCACACCCTGCTCCCAAGGCGCGACTTTCCCACGTGCACTTCCCCTGTCCCCAGCTGACCCTCAACAGCCTCATGCCTGTGCCCCCACCTGGAAACCCAGTCTGGCCACCAGCTCCTGTCCTACCCCTGAGGCCACCCCCTGCTTGCTCCCGTCTGTCTGTGCCTCAGCCCTCTCCTTCCTGTTTCTCAGGAACCACAGGCCCTGCATGATCTGGGGACTGCAGGGGACTCTCCTTCCTGACCACCTTGTGACAGGCCACCCCTGCAGGGGACCCCTCCTTCCTAGTCACCCTGTGACAGGCCACCCCTGCAGTGGAACCCTCCTTCCTGACCACCCTGTGACAGGCCACCCCTACAGTGGACCCCTTCTTCCTGACCACCCTGTGACAGGCCACC